AAAAACATAAAGGTAATTTTATTCTGTTCCTGAATTAATAAGTGGCAGTCATTTCATTGGTCACTTATATATAGTCTGTTAGTAATTTAATATGATTAATCTTAACTAAGTGTATTAGTGTTGAGGTTAGATAAAAAATATCGCTAAACCCAAGATATTTGCTAACCTCTTTATAAATCTCATGAGCACCGCTTGGATAAGAGTGCCGTGGCTGATCCGGTGATATGTCGTCAGGTAATAAGAAAATGCTGCAATAAGACATCGCTTAGACCGGAAAAAGCCCTTACATGATACATACTCAGGGATATTACTCGTCAAGTGTGTGTGAGATCCGTCTTTAGTTGTAGTGGGTAATGTAGATCCATTATTAAATGTACTAGGGACTGAGAAAACAATGTAAAGCCGAAAATAAACAATTTTTTATACTTAAATAATAATATTTGTTTTAAATGAATATGTAATACCACACACACACACACACTTAATAGTTAATAATAATTATGCTAAAGTGATGCGTCCAAAAACTATTTGGTCCGATGACATTTGTCAGTAGCACCGAAGGAGAAAGTATAACACAATGTAAATGACCCAACGGTTTTTGCTGTATGTTTTACATTTAGTAAAAAGATACTAATCGCTATACATTTTCATATTTCACCTAAAATGTATAATCAAAATGTAAGTATCGAACGGGTGACTGTACCTTCCACGTACAGACAAGCATAAATGCTATGTAGAGGCCTTAACGTGATACAACCCTAAACATTGAAGTCTTATATAGATTTCATCCTATTACACTAATTATGATCAAAAAAATAGTAAGAAGAAAAAACTTTCAAAACTCAATAAGGCATGAAAGAAAATAAAGTTGACTACATTAGCAACTTAAAGTGCCGTGAATGAAATAAGATAAGAAATTGCTAAAACATAGATAAAAAGTTGTTCCATCAAGGTCTAAGGAAAACTAAGAACAGGGCTTGCTAAATATAGCATTGCTTCTCTATGTGCATAGTAGGCAGGCCACGCCGGGCCGGGCCAGGCCACGCCGCGACGGGCGGGCAGCGGGCGGCGGGCGGCGGGCAGTGCGATACTGCGCTGCGCAGGTGGCGCTCGCTCGACCGTGAATCCCCTCGCCCTCGCCCCGGCCAACAACTGTTCCTTGTTTTTTTTCCTTTCATCTAGCTGAGATCAATGGCCTTGACGCTGACTAATCACTAAAATACGTCTTTTCCAAAATCGCTACAATTCTTATAATTACGCTACTCCACTTATACTTCCTTATTGTTACATTTTTTGTTATACTTCTTATGTCACTGTTTTGAGACTTAAACGCAAATGTACTAGTAATTCTTGTGCATATTGAACAAAGTTCACATTAAAATTTACAAACATTCCGATTCGAACACGCACGATAACAACAATCGATATTGCTTAGTTACAAAACAAAAACTTTTAGGGACGATATTGAAGGGATTCATTATTTCCGTTGCGAGCATCGAAGCCTTTGCATAGAATGACGGTCGTATTACGTTCCCCTCTATCTGTTCCGATACGTTCGGAGCGTTGTAAAATGAGCTGTAGGGGCAAAAGTCCTAGAGGTATGCAGTCAGAACTATGTGAGTCAGGCTGAGGTAGAAACGCCGTAAAATAACAGGCGGACAAACCGGCTGAGACTCGTCGCCAATTAACCGCCTCCGACCTCTGAGCCTCCAGTCTGCCAGCCTGCCGCGCTGCCTGATATTGATAGATACTAACTTACTAATACTATAACTGTCCCTGAATCCCTCACCCACCTGCACAACAATGTAATTACAATTCCACGTATCAGACAGTTTACGAGTAAAATAATGAAACCAAAATTCATTTAATAAAAACCAAAAATGATTTAAACATGTTTCTAGAATTGTATTAGTTTACTTTAATTGTTCATTTATTTTACATGTGAATCGAAACGTATTGAAAATAAGGAAACCTATTTTTTATACAAGATTGCAAATCCTGCCAGTGCATCGGTACCTACTTAGCAAGAATACCGTAAGCGGTCGGAAAGAAAACCACACCAACGAACGGGATAAATATAATAGAAACATTTTACATACTTTATCGCTTACAGAATTTTCTCACTTTGTAAAACGGTAAATAAATGATTCCTTTCATAATTTATTTATAAATTTCTATCTTTTCTTCTACACTTTCAACGGAAAAACTTATGTTATCACAGAAATATGATGAAAGAGGACAGTTAATACATTAAAATTAAATACGGCAATAGATTTCATCTCACAACAATTTATAAAGAGATAAGTTGTAATATTTACTATTTCATAAAGTATCTTAAAAATAACTGAATGAAATATAATAGTTAATTATGACGAAAATGATATAACGTCTCTAAAAGAATGCTTTACTTTCCAAATCTAAAAGTAAAAGATTTTACTAAAGCTTAATCACCATGAGAAAATTGCTTTGTTACATTCGCGCATCCTTGCGCAATCGTGCCCATCTCGAGTCGAGCAAAGGCAAGAGTTGCGTGGCGGCATTGTTCGCTCGCCGGTCGCCGCACTAAAAGAAAAACAAACACGCCGAATACTCACCCTTTTTGTAGATAAGTTATACCAAAAGAAGACTGGTTTTCCTGTTGCACTCAATTGATATGATAATTAATTTCCCAGTGTATACGTAACTTAAACATGCGATTGGAACGTACAATATCCATTTGGATTTGAATATTTCATTGCCTGTCATTTTTTTTTCACATAAAATTTACTAATCGTATTTAAAATTCTAATAGTTATAATTAAATTAGATTTATTGCCAATTGATTAATATCATATAATTGATTTTTTTGTATTCTATATCGGTATATTTCCACAATATTCAACTATACGCAGAACGAATAGAATCTTAAAATGATTTTTGAACGTATCTACAGAAATTCAAACAAAGACGTTCGCCGTCAAAAAAACAACCCAAATCCGTGTAACGGAACAAATATCAGATTATGAAACTCGTTTTGATATGTTCATAAAAACGAGATACAGGAGATTTTATCCTTAACAATGTTGAAAGCAAAATATACCTTAACAATAAATAGATATAGGAGATTGCAGAAATTTGTTAAATGTATATTCGAATAATTTTACACCATTGGATCAAAGTAATTGGTCTGAGTTTTTTAAGCAACTAGCTGTCGCCCGCGACTTTGTCGGCTGGGAATTAAAAATTAATTTATAGTCTATGTGTTCTTTCAGAGTATGTTGTACATCCTCACCAAATGTCAGCCAGATCCAGTTAGCCTTCTGGCTATACCTACTAACAAACATCCACTAAGCCCCCGCATTTATATTAGTAAGATTTATAATTCTTTATGTGTACAAAATATAACATACAACGCCATAGTATTCTGATAGTTTACGCAATAACGAAACAAAAACGTAAAAGATAATAATAACTTCGCATGATGTCGTAACAATAACAATGTCATTGTTAGCGAAGGGCACATTTCTAATCCAAATTGAATTTAGTTTAACAATGGTAACAATCATAAGTGGTGTAACTCATCAGCAGATTAAACGTAACCGAGAGCTCATTTCAAAATGAATAAATTATCACGCTAGTTATCTCCGGCGAGTAGTGAGGAGCGTGTGAACAGAAACTACCTCATCTCGTCTGTCAGCTCACTTTCCATCCATTCATGGCTTCTTCAGCTTTTTCAAACGATTTCTTTCGACCTTCTTAAGACTATGCGACGTTTATGTTCAATTATTGCCAACTTTCTTACCGATGTCTTTTATTGGTAACATGTGTATGTAAAATGATTCTGACAGATATTTAACCGATGTAATTGTTTGTGTAATTTCAAAGCATGTTAAATTAAAATTAAACTTTCTTAATCAACACGATCAATATAGGAACTAAACAAAACGTTGTATTGTACTAAACCTAGAACAAATTTCCGAATTTTCTTTAAACTTCTTGCAGTTTCAAACTGTATGCAAATTACCCTTATTAAGTCTCAGTCCATCCTTCGTTTAATAAACGTTAATCGAAGGGAATAAAGTTATAAAATCAGTTTAGACTACAAAATCTTTCTATGTAAAAATATTACAATAATTTAACTTACTTATTTGTAAATATTTAAGTGCCTATTAAGTAAAGTAATGTTAAACAGGACGATACAAACAATTTCCGAATTACTTAATTTTATTTTAATTTACCCACAATCTAAAATCGTGTTAGTTATTATCTGTCTGTTACTTTACGTATTAAAAAGGAAACCACTTAATAGATTTACACCGCGATTCAATTTCCAAAAATGATGAAACATCCTGCTGTAATGAATCCCAGTAAATACTTTTGTAGATGACCACTGTTTAAGTGTAGGTAGTCGTAAAAATTATTAAAATTTTGCTAAGCAAATACACTACGTACTTTTAGTGAAACATATAGATATAAATTTTCTGAATATAATTACAAAGACATGGCTTTAAATCCGCCTTTTAAAATTAAAAACATTATAATTTGCGACAAAACCTTAATAAATTAGCGGTTTTTTGACAAAACTAAACAAACGAAGATCGGTTTTAAAAAAAATTACGTTCATATTAAACAGCATATTATTAGCATGTTATGTATTTCCATTTTTAGGTTACTCTTAACATTCATTGATAATGTCAAATAGTTATATTGATGTGTCTTACTTAATCCTGACATGAAGGTTACGTGTTATCATTCAAATTATCTTCATGTAAGTATGAAACAAATGGATAAGATTTAAACAGAAAATATCAGTTATAGGAAATAATCTCCGTGCAAAAAAAATGGTAAAACAAAATTTTAAAATTAGAGTATTTGTCAAAAAAAAATATCAACATTCACTAATTAATACAAGCAAACTGAAAAAACAATTCATGATAAGCCATAAACGTTGATACAATACAAAAAGAATCATTTTTTCATAATTCTAAAAAGTAGTTGCTGTTAAGACAAACATTACAAACCTTTTCAGTCCAATTCACCGACTAAGTTAGTGTTGTATTTCACCAACATTAAAATTTAAATAACTGAACATTATATCGTTGTTGATCAAAGTGTCATTTCACTCGAACGGATGTATTAAACGTATTTAATAACACTGTTACACTTCTCTCGGGAATGTATAGTCATAAACTAACACCGATGTGACCGACAATATTACGGTATACCAAAAACAAATTCACGGTTGGATTATGGCGGCAGTAACGATAGCGGGTGGAATAAACAAAAACGCGACACACGTCCGCCGCGTGCGACGGACCGACGCGAATGCTAAAATAAAATAGAGGTAACCGAAGAAAGTTCGTCGTCACGAAGGTACCGAACCACAAGCGATAAAAGCCTTTGCTTACTGATTTAATTTGCGGCTAATAAGTCATGTTGGGCGTGTAGCTAACTGTTCATGACCGAATGTATGTCAAAAATTCGTCCATGCATCATACCATGCAAATAAAAACGTATCGTCATGCAGCATATAGGCACATAGAGAGTGCAACAAAAATATTCAAAAAAAAAGGCCTTCAATGATATTAAACTTATGAATTGTCTTAAAATTTCGTAAAGCACTCAGAACATACTTAGTTATTTCTAACAATGAGTGAAACAATGTTCCAGAGAGGTAACACTATTTTAATTTATAACTTTGTTCTTATTTGCCATTGCAGTTTAGTTTATCCTTCTGTGAAGGTACATTAAGGCAATTATAATAAATACAATCTCCTTACCCTAGACGCAATACGTAAACAACTTTGAAGCTAGGTTGCTTTATAACCTTTGCCATATTAAATAGAACAGTAAATAACATTAAAATGGATTTGTTATCTCGACATTATAATTCAATATTTAGCGAAATTACTACAATGTATCTCTGATTATATACAATGATAGAATAGATAAGTGACAAGAACTATCGTATCATACTTTTTAAAGGCCGGCAACGCATCTGCGAACCTTTAGTGTTGCAAATATCCATGGGCGTTGATGAACACCTCTGTGTTCCCGCTGCTTGCTTATCTTTTATCTTTAAAAACAAATAACTAGAATAGATAAATTACACTAGTAATAGGTGTTAAAAATCTGCAAATGACGAGTATTGTCATGTTATGTCTAAAATTGGAATGTCAATAAAAAGCCGAGGCAACTAATTACCTTAATTACGTAAGTTACTTTTTGTATACATGTAACAAATTAAACAGTAAGTAATTTGCCAACTTCTTCCCTTTAGGAAGTGGATGTCCGCCAAATAATTTTTAATTTGATGGATACGATAGAAAAGGAAAATATATTACCTGTAGTTTTCGATATTAGATTTAAACAAAAACAATTGACGAAATGAATAAAAGAAGAAGAGACTCAGAAGGAGAGAGAATTGAGAACTTATAAGCTAATAAGAAATGTATTTTCTTCCTCAGATGCTACATTACCGTAAGAGGCATTTGCTATGAAATGTTTTTACTGATGTAACAGCCAGCTACACACTGTTCTGTCTTTGGCAATAAGAAAATAATCTGCCATATCTTGTACCTTACGATATTAAGTATCACCTAATTACTTTCTTATGAGTGCATAATATTTAATTTCGACGAACTATTCATAATTAAATTAGCCAATGATAAGCATACATCACCCTAACATAAACTATTTTTGGGAGGCATTTGGGAGTCCTAAGGTAAACCGATGTTGGTATCGGTGGTGGTAATGAGGAATAATCTAATCTAATCCTCCGCCTCTAAAAATCCTCTCGTGGTCATTATCAAAATTTTCATAAAAACTTCCGACAACTTTAAACTGTGATCTTCCGTATTATGATGTCATAACTTTCAAACATTAACATGGCCGCTTTAAAAATATTCGGAAAATTGGAAAGTGGGTAAATTAAGGTAATCGATTACGTTAACGTAATAAATGACATCTTGTTAACACGACAAGTTTTCTATTTTACATTTCGCTTCTTATTAATAAATTAATAACTAATAATCCCTTTACGATCCATTTGATTATGCAACGTTTGCTTTGGGATACCGCGATATGAGAATATATCTATTTGTTACAATTTTACAGGCAGAAAAATTCTATTAATTTTACTTTTTATTACACTACGTTGATAACAAATGTGTTTTATTGCAAATGATATCAGACTGTTTGAAACTAACATTGAAAATGTGTGACTTTTAGCATCGAGCGTTAATTAAAATCAGGCGACATCGCCGTCCGCCGTCTGTATGCAATATCGAAAAAAAATCGTACTTTTTGCGTTACTTTTAATGAATAACCAATTCTTAAAGTTTTAGTTAACCAAGTTGCAGGCTGCCTCTAGTATCAAATCAATCTTTTACAAATTTATTATATTTGTCGTACTGATCTTCCATAATAACCAATGATCTCATGAACAAGTTAAAATAGTTATATGCGGAAAGGGGGAAAATGAAATAAAACAATCAATAACCACATCTGAACATCATTTATTAATAGCACAACAACACTAAAACTAAAATCCTTATAATTTATCACATCTTTACAATTTCATTACCATCCTTTCCTGACATCCATTATGTCTTTAAATAATGTTACCAAAGATATGATGTCATCCATTTCTAAAATATCACCCAAAAATACAGCCTTCTAATAACATTCAAAACACTTCATTCTTGCTCTCGCCTCGATTACATTCAATATTTACAATAAACATCTATGTAACATCGATTTAATCAATAATCCTCTAAAATACATCAAGTTTAACAACAATAACTATTTAGGCTTGTATTGAAACATACGTATGTATTTCTTTTTCAAGGAGTCAACAGAACCCTTGCGCCCTCTGTTGATTGATCAATCAAAACTCGCCATTCGTCTTCTCATTCACATATTGCTCAGCAATCTTTGTGCTTGGACAAGATCGGTTCATTAAATCAATTGGCATATAAATAGGTAAAACATACGAGAACTACTTTTGTAAACATGGGGTATAACATTACTGGATAAAACTTGTTAGTTATCAAAATAAATTCATCTAAAACAAACATAATTGGATATTATATCTCACTTAGATCTAACATCTAGAAATTTAGTAAAATCTAAACGACAATACTAATAGCTAAGTCTTATACAACAATAGATATGGTACTACGTACCTACAATCATATACAAAGGTTCAAATTGAGAAAGTACATGTTAATTTATTACTTTAGTGAACTTTCTTAAAGTTAGATTCACTACAGAAAAATTACTATTCAATATGTCTAATCATCTCATCTATAATTATTTCTGAAATCCAGAATTACTAGACATAATTTATACGATCAATTTAAATTACAGATATGCGCAACATACAGATTTATGACTCATAGAATCTGAGGTAATAAGTTTTTTTTTTAATATTTCATATACCCATTGAATTAAAAGTAAAATAGATATTAGTATAATTATAAGAAAACTCTGAAATGTTTATCTCTACCTATTCAGTATATAATAATGTCAGATATTTTAGTTATCCAAGATGTAGACAAACATTATGAAGATATTATGATATTTGATCGTTTATTTTTTATAAACAAATAAATATTTAATATCGTAAGACAATGATGGATACTTTTGTTTTAATCAACATGTAATTATTTGTGTTAACACTATGTTACATTTTATTATCCTTTTGTGTATTAGATCGCGTTTTGATAGTCCATAAAATCTACTAATAACAAAGGTTGAGCATATTTCGGAATTATTAAGAAAAAAATGATATTTCTATACACATAATTTCATATAATTCAAACTACTAATTTAAAAAATAATCCAATTAATTTCAATTAAAAATCGTATAATCGATTCAGCTTTTGTCAGAAAATCGATTTGTTAGAATTATGTAATGACTAAATATAACTTAGTTTAAAAATACAGGCTGGTTATAACATGTGAAAAAAATTACAAACAAATAAATTCATAAAAGGTGTAAAAATAACCTAAAAAGACTTAATAATTATCCGAAAAGAACACTATTTTACAGACAAAAATATTGATTTTCAAAAGTCAAATTTGTACGATACATTAATAATAATAATTATTTTTTCATAAAGTATTTTAGATTTTAGACAATCAGTACTGTTCGTTAATTATAAGGAAATTAATAATTAACTTTAATTAACGATTAAAATCAAGTACTTAAGGTAACAACTATATGAAAATGTCTTCATTTATGTATTTGGCTTTAATCTATAATTTCATAGGAAGTAGTTGGAGCGAATTGGAAATTGGAATATTAGATGCCTTTAAAATAACCGTTACCCAATATGTCAAAGTAATTTTTTGCAAAAAATAGACGGATTAATAGAATGGACGTACATAAAATTACACCTAAAAAATTTGAGCTTTGCCCTACACTAAGATTAGGTCTAATTGGGTCTGTTTAATGTTACGTAATTTACAAATATTATTGTAATAAATGAAATTAAAAAAAATAATAAAGTTTAACTTAGTAACAGTCTTTAACGAAACTAGAATCGGATTAATAGGGAATTAAAATTGTAAGCTAAGCGTTTTCAAAGTACAATAAATATTTTATCATCAACCACAGTTCAATTTAATGTTTCATGAAATTGGAATCACATAAGAAATACAAATTTTTGCAAATATAAGAACATGGATGTTAATTATTTTTATTGTGTTTAACACAGACTATTTATTTAGGAATAAAATATGTATTAAAATGTATTCAATTATAAATAAGTAAATAATAAAACTAGAGGAAGATTATCCTGAAATTCTTAAAACAATTTGCTGCTTAAATCTATCATATAAATATAAAAATTAATTAAATCTCATACTATTTTTTACTACCCTGACTGTTATATTCTCTCGACGTCAGTAGTTAAAATAGAATAGGTAGAGATTTTGTATTATTATTAATTAAATTTAAACAATAATCATATAAATTGATTGTCAATTGACTTGTGAGATGTTACACTTCATCTCTAAATGGTATCGAAAAATTTAAAATATAATATTGTCTATGAAAAATATTGTTGTGTTTCTTAGCACCACTAATCTCTTTTAAAGGATTAAAATAATTATTTAGTTTTCTGTGGCGTTTTTTGCCTTAAATGTGGCTCTATGCACATTTATTTTGTTTTAACATACAATTACATTGTGATTTAATGGCAAATTAATCATGCGGGGGGATTAAAAGAAACATAATGAGAATATGTTTTACCATTAAATGTTTCTCAATCAATTCCATACACACATTTCACTGAGCAAACCATTTTTCATATTACCATTACTATGCCATTCTTAAAGGAATATTCAGAACTAGCTCTTGCCCGCGACTCCGTCCGGGCGGATGTAAAGAAAAAAAATTTAAATCACGTCTCACGGAAACGGAATAAAATGTATCCTACGTTTGTCTCTTGGTTCTAAGCTACGTCTCTACCAATTTTCAGCCACATCGGTTCACCCGTTCTTGAGTTATAAATAGAATAACTAACACGACATTCTTTTATTTAGATATTACTTTAATTATTTTTTTTGCAACATAAAATTGCTGTTAATTGCTAATAAGAAGTTTTTCCCTACGTGCTATTTATATATACTTAAAAATTCTACAAATATTAATCAGGGATCAACAATCATATTTTAATTTTAAGAAGGTATATTTGCACACACAACTAATTAAAGTCGAACATTTCGCGATGCGTTAATATTTTGAAGTGCTGTACTGTCCACTAATTTTAATAAACTTGATAAAAATTCTGAGTACTAACCACGAAATACCTATTATCTAAAGTCTAATTGTTAAGCTCTACTGTCCTTATTATTTTCGCTAAACATCGGCTCAATATTTTTATTTGTCTTCATTATAGTCTTAGCAGAGGTTGATGACGAAGGCAAATTACTGACTGTACTTTCCTTTATTGATGACGTAGTAGAACTTGAACTAGTCGCATGTGTTTCACTGTTTAATTTTTTATCCCCTACCGAAGAAGCGACATTTGACAAGACATTAGTTGTAGCCGTAAAAGGAATACTTTTGTTAGATTTATCCGATGATGCTATTGTCGGTGAAATTTTCGTTTTCGGCTTTTCGGAAACCTTTTTAATTTCTGCAACGGATTCCTTTCCAGATGATTTCGCAACAGTTGGCAATTTAGAAATATTCGAGCCAGAAGATGTGGCTACTGAGTCTTTCTTACTGCTTTTAATTACCTGTGCCGAATTTTTGGACATAATAGTATTAGTCTGTTCTTTTGGCGTTGATTTTACAGAAGTAAACTTTTCTACAGTATTTTTCTTTTCAATTGACACAGAGTTTACAGAACCAGGCTTAATTGTACTATTGGCCGTTCCCTTTGACGCCGAAGTTAAAGTAGTAGATTTTTCCGCGGTTTTTGTTGTAACTGATGGAGCAGATGCTATAGAAGGCGGTTTGATAGTAGTATTTAAACTCCCTGGTACAGGACTTGAAGAATCTGGTTTGTTTGTAATATTTGCTTTGCTCAATGGCACTGAAGTTAAAGAACTAGGCTTGTCTATTGTATTAGGTTTCACTACAGGCACAGAAGATGGTGGCACATGTTTATCCGCAATATTTGTCTTCCCAGTTGAGGTAGTACTTAAAGAACCGGATTTATTATTATTATTACTGGCATTCCCTGTAGGTACAGTAGTTATGGGATTAGTTTTATTTATAATTTTTGTTTTTTCCGTAGAATTATCTTTAACTGTTGTTTTAGAAGTTAAAGATACAGGTTCTGAAGATCTGAAGATGCAGCCTTTCCTTTTGGAACAGAAATTAGAGATCCAGAATTATCTGAAATGTTTTTTTTCTCTGTTGGCTCAGGAATTAATGAACTAGTTTTATCTACATTTTTTCCTTTCCCCATTAGTACTGAAGTTACGGAGCCAGTTTTGTCTGTAGTATTAACTACTCCTTTTGGCACAGAACTTACGAAAGTAGGTTTGTCGGATATTACAGAATAGTTGGACATACTATTACTTGATTTAGTTGGCGATTCTAATGAGGATTTTGGCATAGTCGGGTTAATTATACTACCCTTAGCTTTGTCTTCAAGTAAGCTTGCGGAGTCTTTTTGAGATATATTTACTTTGGGATCACAAACAGTAGTTTTATTTTTGGCATCAGAGATAGAAATGTCTTCTACTGTTTTCTTTTGTCGTTGCAACTGCTTGTTCATAGGAAAACTACTCACAGAATTTGGAGGAATTTCTCTAATCGACTTATTTTCAATATTTCTTGATGTTAAAACTGATGGTTTATTTGAATTTAAGGAAAGTTTTTGAGCAGTATCACCATTATAAGTCTGTTTTTGACTCTCCTCTGTCATAAAACTTTGTTTTTCGATATTTGTTTTACCAGGTATTTGTGGATTTTCAAATTTAGATTGTTCCATCAATATTTTATCTGACACATCTTTCTTTGTCTTATCTACAGCCGTAGTCCTAGTTTTTTCATCTTGCAATGTGTTAGTGCTTATTGAATTTATTACTTCAATTTTGGAACTAGTAATAGGGATTTTAGAATCGGCCTGTGATATCTGAGGCTTATCAAGTGAAGTTTGTTTTGTACTCTGTCCTGGTGCTGATTTTACTATATTTGTTGAAACAACTGTTGATTTAATATTTGAACTGATGGTTGCTGAATGCTCTTTGATAATTGAAGAATTTTTAATGTTACTTTGATTATTTTCATTACTACACTTTGGCTGACTTTCGCTTTTAGATTTTACTGCGTCGTAATATTTTTCACTGCTATCAAGTATACTTGGAATAGATTTAATTACATTACCTTCTATAGTAGATAAAATAGGTACTGGCGTTACATGAAGAGGTTCCATTTCTTTTGTTATATTATCTGTATGTATTTTAGCCGTTGTAAAAATTAAGGGACTTGGGCTATAAGCAGAAGATTTAGTGTTATCGATTTCAACAATTAATGAACTTTTTGTAGATTTTGAGGTGGTAGTATCGATGACACCAAATATATTTGTATTCATATAGTTATGAATAGGTGCTGTTACGGACGTGTTAACATTTGCGATATCTGCCGTAACACTTTTGAAAGTTATATTTTCAGAAAATGTAGAAGAAGTCGTCGGGGAAGCCTTTTGTACTTTAGTTCCAATGTTTGTATTATCAGATCTTTCATTTATTGAATCAGTCTTAGATTTTGAACTAACAAATTTGGCACTTTGTTTAAATTCACTGACATCGTGTTCTGACTGTAAGAGCGGTTCATTAACTGTATCATCAGAATCGTCGTTAAAATTTGGTATTTTTCTTTTGATCGAACTGCGTTTTGCTTTAGATGGTGGTCTTCTCACTTCGTTTTCAACAGAACTGGTAATAGATGTAGTTTCTACCCCATCTTGAGATGACTGGAAAGATCAAATAACAGATTGTAAATTGTAAATACGAACATTTTACCGATGAGAAACTAATACATTAGTTTCAAAAGCTCATTCAATAAACATTTTAGAAACTACTTACAGAATTGTCGATCCTCCGCATTGCAATAAGCGGATGTGCGTGGGGTCATGCCCCACGCTCGCGTAGCACGGGCCGGCCGTGCAGCATGAGCACGGGTGGCGACAATTCGGGTTCGGCACGCATTGCGCACGTTGCCGGCGCGCTCAACACGTACCCCGTACCAGCCGGGCCCCACTCCTCAGTCGGACGTGCCAGCACGCGAGCTTTCTGTACACCAACAAAACATCAGTATGTGAACACGCTCACGATTGTGTTATGAGCTTAAACTAAAGTATTTAAGTGTGTCCTTAAAGATAATGGTTTAAGGTTGTCTTAGTTTTAAGCAACAGTAGGTCATAAATTTTTTAGCATATTTTACAAACCTCCATTATTGTGAGATCATCGGGTCCACTGCAGATCTGGTCAACGGCCATGAGCACCACCACGACCACAGGCAGAACTCCGATCGTCCAGCCCACGGCGTCCGCCCACATCGGGTACACGTAGTGTCCGTACGATGCTGGCTTGTATTCGATCCAGTTGAATACCAATATAAACTGAAATATGCAATAAGAGGATTCGTAAATTTGTTACTTAATTCTAACTTAACAACAAGTGCAAATGTAAAAAATTGACAGAGAGTGAGTAATATTATTAAAGGTCTTTATTAATATCCGCGAATTTCTAGTGGGGGTTCTTAAAAATGAATTTCCTTGCCACTAGAGCAGCGGGGGTTATGATACGCCACATGGCGCTCCAGAAGAAGACCCAGAGCTTGGACTGGCGGCCGATCATGCTTTGGATGTCGCGGCAGAACTTCTCTGCGCCGTAGATCCACGCTATGAGGATGCACTCGCCGATGGCAATGATCAGCACCGACCAGTTTGCCGCGTACTTATCCATCAGCTGCAGCCAGTACATTCCGCTCTGAAAACAATAGCTAAAGCATTACTTGTGCGCGAAGCTAATATATATGCATATCAATATCATAATAATACAGTAGGAAATACACAAATCTTTGCCATCTTGTTGCACTATCATGTTTGTTACTGGACTTAAAAAACATGATCGTTCCTTTCTTTGACCACATGAACGACTTAATCTAAACAAAAACAAATAAAATTGGATTGCTTACATTAGTGGTGAAAATAAGTCCTCCAAAGTAGCCAAATATGGCAACTGTCATCACTACCCATCCCTTTTTTTGACGGAAGTTCGGGAAACGATCAAGTATTGCTGTTGTCACCGTCTCCATTAACGCAAACTGAAACGACGATATATAAAAAACAACAGTTTTAATGGTTGCCTTCAAATAATTAGTACCTTTTATTAAATTGCTAATCTGTGACACTTCTTAACCAGTCATGGAAATTTTATGCTACAACGCTTGGAAAAGGCAAATTGTGCATATAAATAAATAAATAAGTACCTGTGAATCCAGACCAAGGGTTAGTAGCATCACAAAAAAGAGAATAGACCATAGTGGCGACACGGGCAATCTGGTGACCACCTCCGGGTAGACTATGAAAGCGAGACCAGCGCCCTGGTCAACCACGCGGTCCACGCCCACGTTCAACTCGTGCGCCAGGAAACCAATAACCGAGAAGATGACCAGACCCGCGAAGAACGACGTCGCTATGTTAGATACCGCCACGATCAAGGAGTCTCTAAAAAACAAGGGTATTTAAAGATGTATGTATGTTAACATTTATACTGCGTTTGAAGCTTTTTGAAAACTTTTTAACCCCTTTTTAAAACTTTATTGAAGAGAACTTTGAACTTTACAAGGGAATAGTGAATAGGCCATAGATAAAGCAGTGTGTATGATGGCATCACAACCAACATCAGATGAATTTCAACTCTGAAAGTTTAGAAAATTGCCAAAAAAGAAAAAAAACTATTTTACTTCCGTTTGTTACAAATTTAAATATTTTTTATCGACACTTACATGTAACAGTTGTTGGAAAACTTGTTATAAGATGAGAGTGTAATCAATCCACCCCAAGCCGGGCTCAAGGCAAAGAATATTTGAACCGCCGCGTCTCCCCAGACCTAAAAAAATCACTTTTATAACCTGTTGTATATCGTTTTCTAGTAAAAAGTAAACAATTTTAAGGATAGTCTAGGTTTTTTGCTTTTATGCAAAAATAATAGGCTAGTATAAAATAGAAGTTTTTTGTTAGCACTCAGAATTATGTGAGGTTTTAAAAGGATTGTAATCCTAGATAGTAAAAATATATTGCTTACGTGTTTGCGTTAAGTTAATTACCTGTGCATTAGCCAATTGGCTAAAATCAGGTGTCAAATAAAACAGAATACCAGTCGATGCTCCCGGTAAAGTCACGCCACGAAAAAATAAAATCACGAGCACCACGTACGGAAACAGGGCAGTGAAATAAACGACCTGTAATCAAAAAGAATAAATCTGAACTAACACAACTATATTTTCATTGAGGAAATATATTTTGGTCGCTTTAAAGCCGACTCCGATGATCAGACTATTGAAATAGAATATAGTATCAATTTAATTTATAGATACGAATAAATGACTCGCAGCTCGCTAAGTAATCAACTTGCTACAGCAATTAATCTGATGAATTTTTAAACAATAGATAAATTTCACACGATTTAATTATTAAAAATGTGAATGTTCTAGAGGAATTCGAATCTTTAATTTCTACTATACAATAAAATAAAGATATTAAAATGTTTAGTCGCGAATATCTTATTTTCCACATACCTTTCCTGATGATTGGACTCCCTTGAAAAGACAGAGAAATACGATTAGCCAAGCAGCGAAGAGACACAAGGCCATACTCCAGCGAACTTGGCCTGTTTCCTCAATTCCCGAAGATAATCCTAGAACTTTGTTACTGAAAGCAAAAATTTAACGATGCTTAAGAAGAGATTTTTTTATAATTTCATTAATACTGATATATTTAATAATAAAAATACACTGCTCGTTTGTCTGCTTATACTATTGAACCCTTTTTCAACCCCAATACTTTGGTTCAGGTAATTACAAAGTTGTTTTAGAATCACTACTCGTATAATAAAAATGTTTAACAAAACAAATGACAAATATAGAATTTAAAAATATACGTGATACAGAAATTGTGCGCTATAGAATACGACCTCGAAAATACAGCGCTCGCGTGTCGCAAAACTCTGCAATGCAATTAGGTGATTACACTTCTGATTATGTTATGGTCTAGTCGAAAGCTTTTAGTTAACAAATATTCGCTTCTAACAATACTTTATATTATTTCATACATATTATTACCAACTTGGAAACCTTGTAAATAAATTTTAATCATTACTCACTAAATTAATTATCAAAAGTTTAATAACTTGATGTGTTCAATTAGTAAACTTGATAACTGATTTGTTTTAAGATCATTAAAATTTGGTTGGCGATCGGCTTTTCCCCTTAAAATTAATAGTAAATACTCGTAACAACTTTGTATCAACTGGTATAATACCACTCCGATTGGGTACGTTTACCAATTACACTTATTTTTCATGAATTAAAATAACGCTTACGTAAAATATTCTTCTGCGGGAGGCTTCCTGAGAGCTACATCGGCAAGTGCGGCTGTGTCTTGTAGAGCGGCGTAGCTTTGATTCAGACATTGTCTTAAGTAATACGTTCCATTCATTGCTTCACATTCATCCGCTTCTTCATACGAATAGCAATCTAAAATAATGCTCGATGTAAATAATTTTCTATTACTAATTCTTGGGGGATATGAATAGTTTCCGACATGTACATCGCTTTTCAAATATATACTAAAATAACATGGAATCTCAGATTAGTGAATGCCACTAATTAAAGTTAAACAAATTATTATATTCAATCCAAATATGAAGATGACGCTGCAATAATCAGCTTTTAAAAAGTTTAAGTTTTAATTATGATTTTTTATATCTGAAAATCTCTTTTCTGAGCCTAGTTGTTTCCAACACATGTCAATCTGAACTGAAAGGCATGTAGTAATTGCTATCTAAATACCCCAGCGTATTTTAAAAAATGAAAGTTTTATATTCCAACGAGAAAGTAACAGCGGAAAATGCTCATATTACGTACATTTGCTTTCATGGAACGGCTGAAACTACTAGGAAACTCTAATATTTTTCGGTACTGTTTTTGTAGTTTCACATTTTCTACATTAGATTTAAATTATTTATTAAATTATGAAAATAAAACAATACAATATGCACTCTCATATAAGTCAACATCAAATTAATTACTTAAGCTTAATAACATAAATATCACTCACACTTTGTGCTCCAATCGGCGTCACAGTTTTGCCAGGGTAATTGATAGAAAATGCTCACAAACGACACAACCATATAATATATAGTCCACGCGATGATCAGATTGTAGTAGAGCATAACTATACTGGATACTATGACCATGCCATAGCCGAGGCCGCGGAAGAGAGGACAGAATCTGTTGTAGACGGCGACGGGGCCAAGTGCTGCATACTGGCCAAATGACAGCTCCATAAACATCAGTGGCAGACCAGCTATTATCAGCATCACCGTGAATGGAATCAGGAACGCACCTGGAGATAATTATTTATACGAAAAAGGTTTTTTGGGAAAACATGCATAAGTCTCACCAAAAAACATATAACATTTTTATTATTGTTTAAATTCAAACATGTTTTGTGATCTCTGTGAATACTTCAGTATATTTCTTTTACATTTTAAAATAACTTTCAAGAAAATATCAAAGTCAAAAGGATACATCAAAGGTCGCAAGAGGATCAAATATATTAAAAATGAAATAATTGTTCCCACCAGCAGAATACGTCGCCCACTGAGCAGACGACCTTGAGACTTGCGATATCTTCCAGACAAGTGGGTGTAGAAACGTTCTTAAACGCTTATATAAAAATGTTTATTCAACGCTTACTTTAATATTTAGCTATATTCTTTAGCTTCAGTATGAAGAAAGAGTGAAAGAACACCATTCGTCTACTCAGGGCGGAAATACCGCTCGGCGCAGTTTTTACATAAAGCATTTCTCGGGAAGC